CATTTTGTTCCGCCCCTATTCCGTGATTGGTCGCCGTAGCAGCCAGATTTTTAAAACATAGAAAGTGCATTATACCTCCTCGGTGATGCTGATACCCTAGTACAGAATTTACATTTTGCTGGCAATTTCTGTAAACCTGTTGCTCGGAAATTGTTCAATTCATATTCGGGCACTATTATAGTCGATGTATCAGGCGCCCTCTAGTGTTCGAGTCTCCAAAGTGAATCATCTTGCCAGGTAAGTTATCTACTTCCGTCGCCATTTTTCTTCAGGCGATTGGACGCAGAATTATAACATTCGCCATTTTGTTCCTCTTCTATTCCGTGATTGGTCGCCGTAGCATCCAGATTTTGAAAACATAGAAAGTGCTTTATACCTTCTCGGTGATGCTGATATCCTAGTACAGAATTTCCCTTTTCTTGCCAATTTGTGTAAACCTGTTCGAAAATAATTGAATTTTTTTCTGTACACTAGGATACTGGTTAGGGTGTCAGCCGCATTCCATAGTGTTCGAATAGGCAAAATAGTTTATAGACTTGCATCGCCAATTTATTTTCGCACCCCATCGCGCGATTGGATGTTGTAGCTTGAAGAAGTGCAACAAAATGGCGATATCATAATTTTAAAAGTGCACGATACCTCCATTATCTTCCTAATATAGGGACACAAAATTGTCATTATTTTACAAATTGCCTTATACCCTTTCGTTGAAAACGCTGAATTACTATCCGTGTACTAGGATGGTCGAGGACGTATCAACCACCTTCTATTTCTTCTAGTCAGTAAAGTGGCACATCTTGCCAGCTAAGTTCTTTACCAACTTCTATCGCCACTTTGTTCCCGCCCCATCACGCGATTGGGGTCCATTAGCGGAATGTCGCTTATTCTATTTCCGCCCCCCATCCCAAGATTGGACGATATACTGCCCACTGCAGAGGGTGGAATAAAACTGTGCTTTGACTACCAACAAAAGTGCGTTATTTTATGCGGGTATTTGCATCACAAAGGAGTCATATGACACTTCTAAAATCTTGAACGTCATTATTTTCATACAAGACCAATATTCGAACGTAGGTAGTGGTGCTGAAAATGGAGCATATACTACGGTCCTGAAATTGCATGCAAGCTCTATTTTCAATCCTTATTCTGAGGTGGTAGGATGCTTTACACAAATAAAACGATGCACAAATTACTGTAAATGTTTTTATTACTAGTATGAAAGGTCAGGTTTATAAGGGAATTTTCTCTTTGGCTTTAATTTAAATTTTCTTCTCACATGTTAATTTGTAATAGGTTATATGGCATCAAACAATTCTTAACATGCAAAACCCAGCTGCAGCTATACGCACCTTTTAGCATGGAACAGGTACATCTGCCATATAAGCAGGACATTTTCTGTATCCAGTGTCATTAGCTGTTAGTGACTTCATTATAAGTGAAGAATCACTGTTTTGAAAGGCTGACAATGAAGAAAATTGGTCACCAAATATCAAGAATCAGGTGTACTGCTAACTTGAGCAAATAGTGACTAAAGCAAAATATTCTGGGGGGCTCAGCTGTGCAATCGCATCAGTGCCTGTTGTGTTATGAAGAAAAGGTGGGCCATTTTTCCAAAAGTTGAGTTACAACCCAAACTTAAAATATTCCAATCTTCACGTAATATACACACTTACCTTAATGCTCATGCCTTTTCCATGTCGTTTAACATGAAATGTATTCTGTACACAATTTTATAACCTCTCATCACAAATAATTTCATGTTCCTGCCTACAATAATAATTCATTTTTGTCAAGAAAAAAAAAAGTAAAATGCAATTCATGTAGTTGATCTTTATATGTTTTGAGAGAGAACCAAGATAAAATGTATATTCTTGTGATATATGCATAACATGTTATGCTCCACATGCCATGAGCTGATGTGACAGATCCCATGAACTTCTGGAAGTGAAGTTACTTGGCATGTTCTGCCATCAGGATGATGCAGTTCTGTGGCCATCTTCACCCCATGGCTATGGACTGATGTAAGCTTCCATGTCTGGTTTATCATTACTGCACACTGAATTAAATACCTAAACATATGGTCCCTTGATGGATTAAATCATAACTGGCAGAGCTCACATATCTGACCAAAGGGGGGACAAATATTGCATGACAGCCTCAAGACCCTTTCCTAAGCCTAGGTGCTATCTATGGAATTTAAAAGCACAAATTAAAATTGAAAGATGGGGAATATATTACTTGTAGTTAGTGACAAACAATTTATCATTTTCACAGGAATTATTGCGACTGAAGATTTAAACAGTAACCTCCACGTGCTCGATAGCTGTAATGATTTCTTACGTTGTTCTCAATGCACAGTCATGGCCAATTTAATATTTCATGGCCTCAAACTGAATATTATTAAGTGGTCAGCATTCCTGCTTCTTATTTGGGTGGTACTAGGTTTGAATTCAGCATGGAGAGCAACCATACTGACTATTGTTAGTTTGCATTCCTTGGTTCTTCCAGGCAAATGCTGTAACAGTACCTTAAATTAGACCATGACATAATAGCATATCCAGATGTAATTTGGACAGTGAATATAAAACGCAAGAGACAAATGCATAAAAAGGTAAAGCTATCCCTGTAACAGGCCATGCAGGCCCATTGGGTTCAGATATTGAGGCTCCCACATTTTCCATACAACTTGCTTGCAGATGGCGGTGAGGCTGCCAGCCTTACACATGAGACAGATATATAGCAATTATAATACAAAAGCTGGAGGGTAGACACCTTTCAAATGCCATCACTCTGTGACCTCCAGTAAATGCTGATTTTGTGTGAAAGCTGTACAATTTTCCAGTGTGCGCACAAACTAAAGCCAAATACCATGGTTTCCAAAGCTGGATACAAAAGGCAGATGGCAAGATACCTGAAATATGCAGGTGGTAAGACTGCTATATTTTACTATATTATACTGTGACGTGTAGACCCATTTCTAGGCAACACCTGAAATACACTCACGCAACAACAGAACTAATGTTACAAGAGGTGTTTTCTATGTGGTTCACATATACCTATTGCTAGGTAATGGACAAATAAACACGCATTCTTGACAAAAGAAGGTGTTTTCTGTAGGGTTCATGCCAAGGAGTTATCTTGAAGACATCTTACGCTACAAGCAGGTGATGGTTCAACTGTGGAGCGTTAACCAGCAGGCAACGGGAGCAGAAGAATCTCAATCGCTAAGCTTTGTTACCAGGAAATCTCTAGTGAAAACGCTGCAGATGAATACCCACTGTGGAGAGCTACTACCATGTAAAGATTAGTGAAAGTAGATTGAGAAGACCTAGCACAGAGTGATGTGTAGTGTGGAAATCAGCAACAGTATAGTAATTATTTGTCGTTATGACCTGTAAGTGGTCAATAAATCTATTCACCAATCCAAATGCTCTCTACAGTCACTAATATATGTGACAATATTATACTAGTGTATGATAAATTGTACCAAACTGTACTATAACGTACCACACTGTTTTGCACTAAACTATACTATATTAAAGAGATACTGTTTTATGGTCTTCAATTCATAACTATAGTGATGTTCTCTGTTTGTTTTCCTTTTTCTGTTATTGAGTATGTGTACAGTCTAGTTATTAGGTAATAATACCTGACAATTTGTGCTCGAATGGATGGCACAAACTGTTAGGTATTATGATGTCTGTGTGGGTTTCCTATATATTGCGAATTGCAAGCTATTGCAAACGAACATAGAACATACACTCAAGGAAATTAATGAATTACAACCAACTATAAAGTTCACCATTGAAAGAGAACAAGAATCAATTAACTTCCTAGATATAACAATACATCATAAGGATCAAACACACATGACAACGAACAACAACACAAAACAAAGTGGGCCACATTTACATACAGTACAAAAGAAGTGAGAGAAATTACAAAACTTTTCAAAGACACACAGATAAAAGTAGCATTCCGCACATGAAACACAATAGAAAATATACTCAAACAAAAACCACAATTAGATAAATACAATAAAAGTGGCATATACCAAATGAAATGTGTAGATTGCCCATTGAAATACATTGGGCAAACGGGCAGAACATTTAACACCAGATATAAAGAACATATACATGATATTAGAAATAATAATAGCAATTCCGGGTACTCAAATCACATACTAAATACAGGACATGCATATGGAACAATAACAGAGATAATGGAAGTTGTAACAACGGGAAAGAAGGGCAGACATTTGAATACATTAGAGAAATACCATATATATAAAATAAGTAAGAAAGGCCTACACATGAATGACACACACACAGAAACACACAATCCCATATTTCAAGCAATACACGAAATCTATACAGACTAACGGTACCTCCCTCTCCCCAATACCCAATCCCCTCCTACACTCACGAACATAAAACACAGCACACAATACATCAGACAGCACACGTAGTAAAGATAAGCAGCGGCATACACACATGGAGACTACACAGAGTAAGTACAAATAACAGTATAAACACATAAGAAAACATTACGTACATAAGATAGTAATACGAATATTTGTATATTACAGATAACACCTGTACAGTACTAGAAACAAGAAGAAGCCGCTGCAGCACTATAGACATAGGGCGAGTAACCCTGACCATTTTAAGTTTTAAAATTCAGAAAAAAAAAAATTTTTTTAAGGATTCAAAATTAGAACTGAAGATTTTATAAGTGCTAATTCAGAGAAATCAAAATTGACGTGTGTAAATAACAAAGATATCAACGAAGTAGATTTTGGTAATATCAACAAAAGGAACAATCAGGAAGACCTGTGTTTTCAAAATTTTAAATGTTATAAATAAGTGCAGTGTAACAGATGCGTGAGTGTATACACCTGATGATGGCCGTCTGTGGCTGAAACATGTAATGTGTAAAGAGGAGCAAAAAGAAAGACCTATAATATATAGTTTGCGCTTAGGACGGAGTTATATCATATAATGGAAGAGAAGTTAACTTGGTTTACCTCCTATTCTTTTGGAATTCTTGGATCCAGAGATTGCACTATATTGGAAGCCCCTGGTGCACGCGCATGTGCACACACATATACACACATCCAGTACAAACTATGATCTGACCTGCAATGCAAAGGGGCATAACAAATTATTGGGATGTACATACAATACAACTCAATGAGTTTTATTTTTCTTTCATTAGTGGAAATAAGGGAACCACAGGAAGTGTTATTTCCTAATTGGCTGATGACCTGTTCTAATGAATGCCACCAACCAAGCCTACAAGTGGCTCTCACTAACATTAGTTATCACCTGAAAGCAGGAATAGAGCCATAATTTTCAAGTATAATATCCAAATTGGAATCTCATTTGATACAGTCAGACAAAGCAAGCCAAATCACGACCCTGCAAATGAGACCAAACACGTATTGCTATATTAACTACCTGAAAGTCTCCCCTCCCTTCACCACCCGTATATGAGGTCCTGTTACACATGTCCAGCTGCCTAGAATCGGGGTTCTGGAGTCCTCCATGCCCTGCCAACTCCCTTACAGTAATGAACTGGGAGAGAGGAAGTTATGGGATACAAAATTTATGAAGATTATAATGCACTGCAGAAATTACATTTCACTATATATACCAAACAAGGTTAAAAAATGCTGACCTAGAAGAATGAACATGAGATGACACATACATGTGGTATGGGGGTTCCTTGTAGATGGTACACAACTGGACAGGCAGACGCTGCACAATCCTTGTTCACCCACAAATTTGACACAGATTTTTTTCACGGATACGGCTCCCAAACTGCCAATATACTGTAACAATTATACAGGGCTTTACATATTGTAAATCTGAACACACTATATACACACTGTATATTCACCACGGTGATCTGCATATATACATTAACATCAAATTTGAACATCCTAGTTCATGTATAAACAACCTGAGTGGAATACCCCAAATGTGTTCAGCCATCGCACATTTAACTGGTCAAAAACACCAACACAACCTATATTCTGAAGAAAGATCCCAGCAAGCAGTTACCCCACAACACACATAAGATGTGTAGCAAGCACAAGGCTTAAATGGAATTTGTAATATTAGTTATAAATACCTTAATAACCATTTTAATTATACAATTGTGATTTTAATTGCAATTGCAATTTTAATTTTTATCCATTTAATGTCTAGGTTCAACTATATTTAAACCACATTTTAAAAATAAGATATAACTGTCAGTATTAAACCACATTTTAAAATTAAAATATAACTGTCAGTATAGAATAATCATACAGACACAACATTAATTCATAATGATTAACGACGCAATTTAGAAGCTAAATAGTATTTGTGTACCACTGAAGTTGACCCAAGAAGAGGGTCGAAACTTGTAGCATTACCACCAACAACAAAGACAAATGTTCACACAGTAGTGTCTACTTTGTTTCTTTTTGATTATTTGTTGTGCAACTGTTCAAAATTATATCTTTTTGTAAATGACACACAACAGGATATGTACCATAAAGATTATCCTCATCTAATGTACAATTTCAAGGATCCCAAGTCAATAATCATCTCCAGTGAGGGCTCGTAGCGTCTTATGTGGTGGGGTTAATCATTATATTTTAATTCGTGGAAATCGAAATTCGATTATATACAGAGTGTCCCAGGAGGAATGTGCCAGACTTTGGTAGGGTGTTCCTTATGTTAAAGTATGCCGATATAACCCAAAACAACTATGTCCAAAGTTGAATGGTTACAGAGATAATGGCCCAAGAAAAGTGTGGTCTTCTGGCAGGTCCACACACTGTACCTGTCAGCTGACAAGTCTTATCAATGTTTATCCTTGAGTGTCGTGATGACACTCACACTAGCCGCATACACTCGCATACCAAAATGCGCAGTCAGCCATGTTACATCAGTTCTTGCGATTCATGTGTCATGTATAGTGCTCGGAACCCTAACAGCTATGACATGGCGTGCAAATTTTTTTTGCAGTTCAATTTAATGGCTTCATGTCACTCACAAGTTAGTTTGATGTTATGTACATTATTAACATTACAGAAACCACATATTCCTGCCAGTTTTAATATCTATTTGGTAATCAAAAAGTGTGTAACACCTGTCAAAATTTCACACTTCTCTGGCCATTGTGCAGTGTATATGTATAGTTGTAGAGGTCATGACATGAAGTTTAGGTGAGGAAGGATGAAATATAGAAAACCTCAAATCCTACAAAATGTTCCTCAATGGGGAGGCTACTCCTCAGGTTCACACATGTTCTACATGGCACCACATCCCAGAAGACAGCATTCTTCATAGTGACCATTGTGAAAACCTCAAATCCTACATCTATAGGAATGCTTATGTTTTGAAGTAGACATTTTTTCCCGAAACGTCTGTTTCTGGGCAGAAAAATGTGATTGTTGACCATACAGAACAAAGTATTTCCTTTCATATGAATCAAGCATTGAGGCTTGGTGGGCTGATGGCCTTTTCCGTTGTTCCAGGCTCCAAGTGCATATTTCAGAATAGAACACAAGCCATCAGCCATCAAAACATTCATACTATGAGACAAGAAGCAACCTGTTGTCTGCTGTCCAGATGCTACTGCATTCGACTGCAACTTTTGCCACTAATATCAAAATAAAAGACAAGAAGTTCAGGGAATAAGTAACCGCATACTTCCCTTTAATGTGACATAGGCCACATATAAATAAAAAAAATTATGGGGGAATATGCAGACAGCAAGGCAATCTCTTATAAGCCTGCTTTTATTTTTTTCAAAATACAGAAAGTAGGCCAACACAGATCTGTCAGCATGATGATGACCAACTGCAGACAGCAGCAGGTGCTACATCACATAACAATCTCTTTAAATTTATGAATAGGTGGAAGCTGCTGCTCATTACTTTTGGGTTCTGATCATCTGACTTTTGGACCAAGTTTAAATCCTCCCCAATTAAAGACAATGGCCCCATCTCCTCCGGGTGTGAAAATCACTCTCACAAATGGTGTTCTCTCACTTCACAGGGCAACTTCCTGGACATCCAATAGCTGAGTATGGCTCTTCTGCAGCGGGTATGGCCTCCTGCCCTGTTGCCAAGTTTGCCCCCCCCCCTCCACTGCACTGCACACTTGCAGGCACCCCCCCCCCCCAATTCACATCTCTGCCCTCCACATCTATCCTATCAAGCAATGTGCAAAATTCCACTTCCTGTCTCTATAAGGAAGCATCTCTAGTGATCACGACACCAGCCCTGGCTCTACTGTTCTGAACAGGGTTCCCAGTTCCTCCAGTGAGCTTCTCCACTCAGCTACAAAGCCCCACTGGTTAGAACAGCATTCTCAGTCACAAGCATTTGATGCTCCATGGCAGTATATGACATATATTTCTTACAACTTTTTCTGTGAACACACCAAACTAGAAAATGACCTGTCATATTCAACAGTAAACTGAGAACATTAATATAAGAATCAAAAGGTTGCAGGTTTGATTCCCAATGAGGTCAAATAACCTTCCAGACTCATTATGGACCTGAGATTGACTCAGCCTCTATCACAAATAATGAGTACCAGGAATCTTCATGCAGGGCGTAATGAGCAGCTGATGCATATGGCTGCCAACCTTGCCACCATCTTTGAGCTAACTGTCTAGAAAATGTGGGAGCCTCGACATTTCACAACCCTATGGGCTTCTACAGCCTAAGCAAAACTAAGAAACATCTTCTCCACCAGGATGGTAGATCTCTGGGATGAGATTTTTCTGAGACCTCTAAAACAGAGGGCTAACAACTCTAAGATGTTCTGTCTCAGAACAGTAAAGATCATCTCATATGTTATATACCTTCCACACAGGATGTCTTCATGTAACATATACAAAAAGCAGGGTATCTTCTGCATCTTACAGGCCCACTCTGCCATAAATGTCCTCCCTGAACAGTTGCAATAACAGTCTCTTCACAGGCACCTCACCAGAACTGTCGACCAATCATATAACACATGATCATTAATTATACTCCAGCTACAGATTATACTGTGCTTCTTTTGGATAATCTTTTCACTAGATATTTTGAACACTGTCTGCAGGCCCAGTTTCTTCAAACCATGCTGTTTGATAAACAAATTCCATTTCCTTGGTACTGGAAGGATAACTAAACCGTGGCCCAGGAAGTCCAACCGGGTAGGATTCCTTACCTTATTCTGTAACCTTAGGACCTAAACAGACCATAAACATGAAAATGTGAACATTACAGTTTTCTCAGCATTGCATAATAACTGTTCATTTACTTGCAAAATCTTATACTGGCACATTTTTAAAACTTAATACTGATAATACATACTCCAAACATTTACGAAATTTGGTTTAACTAATTCACAAACTTGACTCCCATCCGATTACACATCAGATGGTCTCTAAACCCTACCGAGGTCTACCACCACAAAATAGAAATCACTATCGATCCATGCTTCACCTGTCCACGGACCAGTTTCTTTTGTATAAAAATTATTCTAAATACCAAAAAGGCTTAGGCAAAGGATCAATTTTGCCACATGTTGACTACTGAGTGCCATCCACTAGCAAAGTCTTGCATTTCATGATACTAATTCCGACATCATTACCTTACTTGCTAACAAATTCTCCACCACAATTTGGCAACTCAATGTTATTGGCTTTTGATTTAGCTGCCCTGACGTCATGAATGCATTACTGCTGCCATCTGTACATGTAAGCAAATCAAATCATGCAAAATGTTTGCCACCAATACCGAGAACACAACCTACAAAAACATATGCTGTCACAACACCATCCCACTGATATTCATCTTCACCAGTTCAATACTAATTAAAATAGTACAGCAAAAATAAGATGTCTTGAAGAAAATAGTGAAATCTGATATCTATTCATCTTTGCCAGTTCAATGCTTAACAGAATATAATGAAAATCGAAAATCTGATACACATTCATCTTCACCAGCTCAATACTGCACTGAAGAAAGTGATCCACAGTCAGTCTGTTCAGGTCACACAAATATTTACTATGCAGCATTCTATTATGTAGGTCGTACTGAAAGTCATGAGCAACAATGTTTTGTAAAGTAACGTGCTTTATTATTGACAAACCAAATACACCACCTCAATCTACAGACCTTTCTTTATTTTTCCACATAATCGCCACTTCTTTGTACACATTTCTCCCAGCATTCTGGGAGTTTGAAAATTCCGTTCCAGCCATCCGAAGACACTGACGCACTACTTTCTGAATTGCAGGATATCCCAATTCTTCCTCACCATACCAGAACTCTGTAAAATTAGAACATATTGTCTCAAGCCCCAGAAATAATTCATCAGTAAAGGTTGCATAAATTTAATGAAGACATAGACTAAACTTAATTTCTTGGCTAGAATATATGTTAACAATACGATATTCTTTACAAAGGATTTCTAAATCTAGAATTATGTAACAGAAAAGTGGCAATCACGAGTTCTAAACAGTTCTTCAGTTTTGGGGTACATTTAATAGTGTTGTTGTCATTGTCTACTTACAGATTGGAAAATGAATTAGTTTCATCACTGCCAAAGGAATTAAATTATCACAATCTTAATAGAAGTTATGAGTAAGCAACACACCATGAAGCCACATCATGAATTAAAACAGACATACGATGCTTGATCCTTGGGTAAGTTGAAAAATATTTGATTCTTTCTGCCTACCTGATAACAGGCACCCATATGCAGAGCATACTTTCTCTTCTCCATTTTATACTGTAAGAAACAATACAGAAAATATATCACGGTACCCTTAGAACTCTTTTGACATTCTACACACATTCTTTAGGCAAAAATGAAATTTGCAGAACGTCATAACACAAATATGATTTGGATGAAATTTCATCATAACCTCATCTCATTTCATTTATTCATCTTTCATAAATCCTGTCGAGAGTACATTCTCATACGGATGTGGAGATCGTCCTAGTTACAGTCACAACTAAGTCGAGAAGTTTTGGCTTGAAAGAATTGTACATAATTCTAATTTCATTCGTTTCAGTAACCATAACATTCATATATACATATTACATGTCTAACACGGAACGGTAACTTCATTCCTAAACGTCGACTCCGGCTTCAACCACGTAAAATGAAAATCCATACTTACTAACATGACCATTAACCGCCACCATGGCCGCCATTACTGCACGTATGAATGTGAGAAGCGGTATGAAGGATGGGTCTTCTTGCCGTACTTGCCTGTTCTTGGCCAGCCCCCTGAAACTCCCATGTTATTGGTTGGCAACATGGCCGCCGTGACACCTTGATGCAATGCTTCTGCCATCTATTTTCAGCTTATATGAACTAAATTTAAAATGGCCTCCGGGGCCGAGAGCACAATCGGTAAGAAGGTATGCTACCTTAGTAACCACTTTGAGTGTTCCCCCCTCGCCCCTCCATGCAGATAGCTTCTTACTGATGCGTCAAAATATGATCGCAAATACAATCTTACGCCATCTAAATATACACTTAATGTTACCTATAACACCCAACAAGGCTGAAATCACACATACACAGTTAATTTTCACGTAACCATCAAAAGAACACATTCCTTCACTGGCCTAGCCAGCATACCGAAATCCGCTTCCCTTGGCCACTTCAGATTAGATGAATTTGAACAAAGATTAACGAAAGGAAACTTGGTCCATCCCACCAAGCAGGGGAAGGGAGAAGCAAGAGGCATGTGGCCTTGAGCAGGAACACATGCTAAATGACAATATTCACCTTCTTATTATTCAAATTGAAGTATTTATATATGACTTCTTTCCTTTTCCTTTCTTAACTACAGAAGCAATGCTTCCCTTGCTTCCATGCACAGCACGCCACCGTTTATGCCTAAAAGAGATACTTATGCCAGGGGTAATCTGTGGCAATACCCTGTCACTGTAGGGTTCTTTGAATGTCTTCTAATCATCATTTGAAATTTTCTTCACTCACATGCATATTTCAGAGCTGCATATCATTCGGTTTTTACAGTCATAACAAATCTATCATTTTGAAATTGTGGGGTCTGGGGGCTTTGTTCATCATCCAGTATTAAAAGAAAAAAACAGCACTTTTGAAACAGATCCACTTTCTGAAACATTGTGTTCTTTTGTGTTTTTCTAGAGCACTGGAGGCGGGGACAAAGTCCAGAGACCCAGTAATCCTGTGTGTTACACATCACCATCAGAACACTTTAAAATCTACATGATAGTAAGGAGTCCCCAGAGTAACCAATTTGCTGTGAAAAATCACCCCCCCCCCTTTAGTTTCATGCAATATAAATAAAGGAACGAGGCTTCTATAATAATATTAATTATAAAGCTATAATTTTATTCATTTCTAGGTACCTGAATTATAAAATTCAAATACAAAGCAAAATGGACAATTAAGAATATGTATGATTTTCATTTTGAGGATTTCCTGAATTCCTTTTGGGAAATTTTGGAACAGCATGCTAAAAGAGGCCATGGCCACTTTCTATCCTCTCCTTATCATAATCTTAAATTGTTTATGTCCAGTTTCATTATATATAGTAAAAGAGCAAGATTGAAAACTATACGGCCAATGAAGTCAGGCTGTTTTATTCACTATCTTGATCTATTTGACACAGGTTTGTGTTATTTCTAAAAGAAATTAACATTTGATTGCACAATGACAAATATGTAGAAGTAACTTTTACATCCTTCCACAATAACTTGAATTAACAAAAGATTCATTAATCCCTCTGTGCACTCTCCAAGCCACAGGTAATATTCTCTTTCATTCCAACTAAATTAACTGCTCAGAGGAACTTACAATCTTATAAATGTTAGGGCCAAACTAATAGTCATTCATGGTTCTCAGTCTGTGGGTTATGACCATGACCAACATGAGATCATCATCTTCTCCAAAGGGGATTGTCAAGTTCTGAAGGATTATTTATGCTGCAGTTGTATCCACATACAGTTCTGGCAAATCAATTAGCTTTAGTATAGGTGCTATCAGGGCCATGCCACACCTCAAGCGGTTAGTCGCTGGCTTCCCACCGTGGTGTCCCGGGTTCGATCCCAGGTCTGGTCAAGTGGAATTTGTGGTGGACAAAGTGGCGCTGGGGCAGGTTTTCTCCGAGTACTTCGGTTTCCCCTACCAATTGCTCCACAATCACCCTCACCTATCATCTGGAGCTGGTACAATAGGCTAGAAGTGGCCACAGTACAAGGGACTTAGTCCCACCCCACTAGCAATAAAAAAAAAAAGTGCTACCAGAAAATATAGGTGAAGCCAGTGAAACATTTCACAAACATCATGAATGTAATAGGACACTTTATGAATAGCTTTCTGTGTGTGTAGAGAGTTTGTAAAGCTATTTAGGTTCTTGCTTTCACCATACAGCCTGATAGGGACCTTCTTTACTCACAGTGTTGTTGGTAACGCAGACTATGTAGGGTTGATCATTTCTTTTCAGATTAAAATTTGAGAGAGAGAAAATTTATTTTAATATCTCACAGGCCATACATTAACTTGCATATAAAACTACCGTTCCCAATAATCAATAATTTAAATAAGCCAAATACATAACATTCCTTTGAGAGTAACAGGTTTGGACATAATCAACAGCTTCAGAATGAAAACTTGTTTATTATTCACATAAGAAGTCAGCTAAAATTACATATGCTAAAATATTTTTATTGACTAATTAATTGAATTAGCTATAAAATTAACAGTACATAGCTAATTGAAGGAGATCATGAATTTATATTCCTTTCTCCCCATAGGCTTTTAATGATGCTTTCAGTATCAAGACTGAACAGTATCAGACTTCTATCCCTAATAAATATGGATGTAACGGCAAAATTAACTTAGATTCTTTCAGTTCATGTTGGAAGCTGTATATCTCCAAGCAGATAGAGGAATTCAAATGTAATACCCAGAAGCATGATGCCCAAAAAATCACCCAATGCAGTCAAGTATGGAATTGTTGAGTTGTCTGGGTCTACTTTCCGTGACCAGAAGTAATATGTTATTACATATGCCACATACAGAAGAATTGCAACCTGTAACAAGATTAAGAAGAATGTCTTAAGCTTTTACCATGTTGGAGAGTTCTTTGTGCCACTTCCAGCAAATACAGGATTATCTTTTGTTGTAATTCAGGAAGAGAATGCACTACAAAAAAATTTGAACAAGAATGGCTATGCATGAAAGAAATGCTCTTCAGTAGGCAGTGAAACCCCTATTTAAGATTCCTTTGGGTACCAGTGGATTTGAAGACAAAACTGAAAAAATCTGAATGGAGGTAATTTAACACCAAGATTACAGAATTTGTATCTTGACCCTGACTGTCAAATAAGGATAAAACTTCAATCAGGGAATACTGAACTGGGATTGCACTGAATAACAAATTTAATTTTTAAAATCAAAATCTATATCATGCAATCTATATCATACGTATGACGTACCATTAAGACCAATTATCAGCACCATTGGCTCTCCCACTTATCGCTTGGCCAAACATTTTACTGGTCTCATT